TAAAATGATAAAATTTAAGGATTGTTTTAATTATTTTAGCCTAGAAATTAACTTCAAAGAGTGATCCTCCAATCTAAACGCATCATATATATGATAAGAAAAGGACGGCAAGCACATGTGACAGTGAATTCCGCTATGATATCAACTTCACACAGCCGGCCCAGATGACACTAAAAAATAGAATAACTGTGCTACAGAAATTTTGTTCCTAAGATTTTCATACTAGTCGAAAACTAAAAAAAAAAAAAAAAAATCTAAAACAATTAATCAAACAATTTTGTGATCTATTCATTATGAGTTTAGGATACATTAATTATCCATTTTTTTTATACAAAGGAAGCTGCATTTTAATAATAAAGAAAGAGTCACAAGTGTTATAATTTAAATATTAAATTTATTGGACGTCATTTTTTAAAAATAATTATATAAATTAATTAAATTAAAATTTGAATTGACATTAGTTATATCTCATTTACAATTATAGGATACTCAGATTAAGAAGTTAATTACTATAATATATAATAAGAATATATATCCTCAAGAGTTTCATTATTAATACCAACTTATTATCAAGTTATAGACCTATGTTAAAGCAAGCAAAACAGATATTATCATGAGAATAAAGGATACCATGTGTTTCTGAAGCATTCTTGTCAATGAATCTCAGATTTGTTATTTTTAAAGGAATTTCGCAAGTTATTTTGAGGGTTCCTTTACCTGGGGCAAAACCACATTATTGTTTCCCGGTAATATGGAATTTCATTAAAACAAAACGGTTCAATTCGCTGGTTCAATCCATTTTGACATTTAAAAGAATGATATTATTGAAGATTCAATAATTAGAAATGTACCGACAATTAATGCACTAAATTTATGCCTAGATACATGTTTCATATAAGAAGTGCAAGTATACAATGGGATGATAGGAACCAAACACTCGTTAACAAAAATGAGTCTGTGATTTCTCTTAAAATTGAATTAAATTTTAAATAGTATATGGTATGATTTGATAGTTTGGAAATGAAAATGGGGAACATGTGCAATGCACATGCGTGGTTGGGTCTGAAATCTGAATCAAGTCTGACCAATTCAAGTATCCAAAGCATCTGGACAGGAAGGGTAAGTCCCTGCAGGGGTTGGGAAGGTGCACGTGCCCTGTGAAATTTTGATGGGCGGCTCCGATCGGAAACATACGGTTCAGAAGAATGGATGCATTGAATTTCCATTTTTAGTCGTAATTGATGGGCCAGGACTCGTCAGTGTCAGTGCACGGGGGTCCTCCTTTTTATTGTTCACTGCCGGGCAATGTCATTCTCAGAATTATTTGGCTAGCACCGGCTGCCATTATAAAGCGTTTAATGAAAAATGATTTTCTAAATTTTTTTTATATTTTTAAATATTTGTTTAATAAAAAATTAATTGATTAATAAAAAGTAATTTATTAATTAATAGAAAATAAAATTATTTTTTAAAAATTATCTTATAAATTAAAAAAATATTTTCCAAAAAAAATTATCTGTGAATAAAATTATTTATGGATATTTTTGAATATAATTTTATTTATAAATAATATTTTATTAATAAATAAATAAATAATATATTAATAATATTATAAATAATATTAATAAATATTATTATAAATAAATATTATAATAATATATTATTAATAAATAATATAAAGAATAATAAATAGTTTTATTTTAAGTATTTTTATATTAACATAATATTTTAATATTAAATATTATTATTAAAATATAATTATTTTTTAATATTAATAATTTTAATAATAAATAATTTCATAAAAAATTTTAATATTTCAATAGTTATATTAATATTATTTTTTAAAAAAGATTGTCTAAAAAATAATTAAATAACAAAAAATATTTTTCATTAACTCATACAAAAAAAAAATCTATTTGAATTCAAAAAATATAAATATTTTTTTAAAGTATTTTTTGAAATCATTTTTTACAAAAAAAACGAGTTTAAATTATACACTCAATATCCAAAGATGTTTGATCATATTTTTATCATCTCTCAATTGTCATATTATTGAGGGTGTTCATATGATATAAAGAGATCTATTTATATTTTTTCAAATGAGGCTGATTACAAAATTTAAATTTCAAACATATTAGATTGTTATTTTTTAAAAATAATTTACATAAATCAATTAAATTCGATCTTAAATTCAAGATTTTCAATAAACATTGGCCTACTATAATACAACTACAATTAGTTTAATGCTCTTGATCATTTATACAGAAAAAAAGACTAAACCATGAATAATTTAAAGCTCACTTCAATCATGTGAAGCCAGTGAGTATCATATCATGCAAGTTGGGGTTTCAAAGTTTAACCCTATAAAATTGTATTCTTCATCGGATTTTTTTTTTATTTTTTATTAAATTATTTTCACATTCAACACTATTTGTTTCCTAAAATAAGAATGTTTCAAATTCAAAATTTTTCCTACTAGAATTTCCAACCAAATATAAGATAAGATTGATATAAACAAGATAAGTCACATTTTCATTTTCAACCATAACAAGCCAAGTTGAGTTTTGGCGTTTATGACACATGATTTATATGCATCTATTTACGTTTTTTTTCCAATAATAAGACAATAACATGTTGGCTATGAAAAGTATTGGAGGGATAGCATATATATCCATCCTCTTGATGTTGATTCTACCATCAGCACCCACGATTTCTCGGTCTTATTTGCATTTTCCAAAATGCATGCATGGTTAATTGGTTAACTATGCATGTTGATCATTTTACCTTGAACAGTTTGAGCTCCACTGACCGCCTTTGGTTAATATATAAGTATGATATATCTATGTTTTATAAATGACTAAGTGCTTATAAGTTATAGACACCCATGCATTAACTTCTTCCTAAGTAAATGAAGGATTTTAACATCAATATTTCTCGATGAGTTCTTACCATCATAACCCAATAATTATTGGAATATCATCATTAGATGAGTTTTGGTGATAAACATTAAACATATATGGGTAAATTTCATGCATAATCCTTAATATTTTACTTTAATTTCACTTTGATCCCTAAGTTTTGAAGTATTTCATTTGGATCCTTAATTTCTTAAAACGATTTCATTTTGATCATTTTGTCACATATTTTAGTAATAATTGAGCAAAATATCCAAATGGCATGTTAAGGGAATCTCCTCGTAGCATGCCATGTAAGTTACAACAAGGATGAAGGACAAAAAAGAATCATTTAAAAAATTAGAAATTCAAGTGGATCAATTCAAAAGTTAAAGAGTAAAATGAAAGAAAAATAAAAGATAATGGGTCATGAAGGTTGGTTTATTCTATTTGATTTAATATTCTACCCTAATACAATTTTTGGGCGTGTTAATTGGTAAATGTGTTAACCAATTACACAGAGGAAATAACGTACTAATAGTATTTACATTTTAATTAAAACCCCAAAAAAGGTCCAAGCTTCCTTCATTATTGTATTGTTTTTGTAGGATATTAGTGTTACTCTGTCACGGATGAAGCTGGAGGGAAAATGTGCAAGGACAATGTGACATCAGCATTAGGGCAGGGCTTATACGTCATACCCTTTACGCTACAGTGATGCCATATCAATGCGGACAAATCCAACTTGTTCTCCTTAAAGATTTAATTAGAGTACTACTAGTATATATATTTCCTTGGTATACTCAGCAGTTAAATGATAAAAAAATATTACTGTGTCTTAAAAGAAATTTATATATATGATCTTTTATAACAGTCTGATCTGATTCTGTGTCTGTTTCTATCTAGAGACGTGTTTAAAATTTTACATCAACGACTTGACTTGGAGTACTTACATTGCATTTGGCACAACTCAAATTTTCAATATTTTTCATGATCAGCATCCAAATCATCAGATATATATGTTTGGGTAGTTAGCAGCAACGTTGCCCTCAAAACCAACCCTTTTCCAACTTCCGAATGATCTTTTGGACACCACATTTGAGCAAGATCAAAGAAAAGATAGATGATAATTTCAATTAATGCTAACTCTTTCTTATTTCCAACCGATCTTTAGTATATGGCACTTTTTTTGCTGATGAACTATGGATTTAATGTTAGTGTACTAGTCAAAAGTGATAATGGGATAAGCTGGATCACTTGTCTTTGACAATGAAATTCACTAATTACCAGCATGTTTTAGTGGAAGGAAATTAATGTCATTCTCGTATGAAAATTTGTCATATGTGACTTACAACTTGAATTAAGGTTGAAAAATTCTGCTAATTCGTTTGATTTGGCCAATCTTAGGTTCTGTTCATGAATGATGGCAGACAGCTTAACCAACCAAAAGATGTCTATCTCTAATAGCCAGGCTGAAAAGATCCAGTAAAAAGCACAAAACCATAAGAAAAAGGAAATTTATAAGGTTTCATGTCATTTGCAATCAAGCACTATTATTAGTTATTTATAATGTTTTAGTCAAAGAAATTGTGCTTTATATGAATAAAAAGCACTTAAGCATCTTTATTAAAAAATTCACAGTATAACAATAGAGGAGGAAGTTCGAGATATTAATATTTGAATTTTAAATTTATTAAATATTAAAAGTAATTATATAAATCAATTGAATTAAGTATAAATTCAAAGCACATAAGTACTTACTTTGATTAACTATAGTTGCATCTATACGTTTCAAACTGCGGATTCAAATCAGCCTTTTCCGAATGTAAAAGAAATCAGGTTATGATGACAATAAAAGCTTTCAATTTTGTAGCTTTCCAGGCATTTCAGCAGCGATGAAGATTGAAGAGTCTGATATCCGTCTGTCTAAACACTGGGCCATTGTCTGATTCTTTTCAGTTGTCTAAGCTTAAAACCGTTGCCCGTGTTACTGCTTGTCTACTTGTTCGGTTTCGTCAAGTACTGGACCAATGACTTACAGAGATACTGGGCTATAGTTGGTGGACAACAAAGGTCCTGGGCAGTTCGCCCAAAGTTAAAAACATGACCACTTCTTATGCAGATTGTTTGTGTGGTGGGTTTTAGCAAATTCGGCCCATTGTTCACAAAGATTGCGTTCACTGTAGCAGTTCATTCATTCATAGTTGTTCACATTACATGTAATTATGTGTGGACTTTAAGCAGCAAATGAACCTCGTAAGTTATAATTCTATCCTTTTGACGCATTTACGTTCATTCTAACTCTTCCCTCGTTTTGAAGAAGAAAGTCCATGGGTGTGGGTTGACAATTGTCCATGTTCAACTTGAACGCGTTGAATGACAGATGATTAACAAATCACAGAAAAGCCTAACCTTATCCCAGGCGAAAAATCAAACATACCTTCAACAACCACTCGGAGTGATATGCTCTTACAATTTACTTCGACGTTCCCGGAAACTCAATCAGGAAAATTGAAGCCTCCCCACAACTTTCCCAATAAACACTAACATTTTTCTTGACATTCTCAAAGGAAACAAAATGGAGAATTCAACTCAAGAATCCCACCTGAGATCTGACAATTCCATAAGCTACGAATCACCCTACCCACTTTACGCCATGGCCTTATCTTCCATGCCCTCCCGCATGAATCTCAACCACCAACGCATCGCTCTTGGTAGTTTCATCGAAGACTACCCTAACAGAGTCGACATAATCTCCTTCGACCCAGAAACCCTTTCCATCAAAACTCACCCAACTCTTTCGTTCGACCACCCTTACCCACCCACAAAACTCATGTTTCGGCCCAATGGAAAATCCCCTTCCTCTTCCTCGTCGGATCTTCTCGCTTCATCCGGCGACTACCTCCGTCTCTGGGAAGTTCGAGAAACTTCAATTGAACCTTTCTCCGTTTTCAACAACAGTAAAACCAGCGAGTTTTGCGCCCCGTTAACTTCATTCGATTGGAACGATGTTGAACCCAAGAGAATTGGGACCTCCAGCATCGACACTACATGTACTATTTGGGACATTGAAAAGGGCGTCGTCGAAACCCAATTGATCGCTCACGATAAAGAGGTTTACGACATTGCTTGGGGTGAAGCTAAAGTTTTTGCTTCCGTTTCCGCTGATGGATCCGTTAGGATTTTCGATTTAAGAGACAAAGAGCATTCCACGATTATTTATGAAAGTCCTCAACCCGATACCCCTTTGTTAAGATTAGCTTGGAACAAGCAAGATTTGAGGTATATGGCTACGATTCTTATGGATAGCAATAAAGTTGTGATTTTGGATATAAGGTCACCCACAATGCCGGTAGCTGAGTTGGAGAGGCATCGAGCAAGTGTCAATGCAATTGCCTGGGCTCCTCTGAGTTGTAAGCATATTTGTTCTGCTGGGGATGATACTCAGGCGCTTATTTGGGAGTTACCTACGGTGGCTGGACCTAATGGGATCGATCCTTTGTCTATGTACTCGGCCGGGTCCGAAATTAATCAGTTGCAGTGGTCTGCTGCTCAACCTGACTGGATTGCAATTGCTTTTTCTAACAAAATGCAGCTTCTTAAAGTTTGAGGTTCTAAATTGTATTTTCCTGCTCAAAATATGTTAGTCTCATTTTTGTTGCATAGAATGCTTAAGCTTTTATTGCTCCATTAGTTAAAAGTGTAGAATCAGTTTTGTTGAAGCCTGTTAATTCTGTTAGTACTATGAAGTCTATGGTGAAATTCCTTTAAATAATTAAGTTAATTTCCAGAGACTAAACAATGCCTCTAAAAAATGTTTAAGTTGATGTTTAAGTTTGGCTTGTTTGATGCTTGGCCTTGATATGCCTTTTTTAGTACAGGTGAACAAAAGTTAATATTATTTTCGTGGGATGAAGTTTTGGAATAGAATTTCACCAAGCCTTTTAGTGACCAGATTAATGATGAACTTCTTGTTAAAGAATTTAAGTTAACATGAGATTTTCTAACCAAGAAAAGAATTGAGGAAGAGAGTAAGTCTGAATAACCTTTACTTTGTTTTGGTTTCCACTTTCCATCTGGTTCAAACTTATGGTTTCTGAATTTATTATGTATGTAAACTAATTTTATCTGGGTTTCCTCTTTCCATCTCGTTCAAACTTATGGCTTCTGAATAGTTATGCAAACAAATTTTATCCGGTTTAAAAGGCAGTTCATATCACTTGCCCTGGTTTTACACGTGTGTATGTATGCGCACACATGCCTGTTCATCACATGATAGCCGGTAACTAGGCCAACTTTCATCTAACATATATTTTCAGGGTGAAGTAACAGTTTCCTTAATCTAGATCAAAAAGGAAAAGTTTCAGTCTTCTAGGTACCTTGTTGACTAAAGCAGAAAGCTTTCATCTGGAAAATTGATAAAACCATGGAGGTGGCACATGTTTCTAAATCAATGATGTGGTAAAATCTTTTCCATTCGTGGGCCTAGACTTAGTAAAGCCAATTATTTGCTGGAAAATTGTTAAATCTCATTATGTGCTACTATGCTGGAGTATTAGTAGATTATGAGAGGCAGACTCCAAAGATCGAGTTGCCCAATATGTTGCAAGCTATGTTGCTTTTACTTTGTTTATGTATTTGAAGAATTTAAGGTTATTATAAATTACACGTAGCAGATTTTACTGAAAAGAATTACTTTATAGAGCTTTTTTTTTTTTTAAATAGTACTTTATAGAGCTTGTTATTTCTGTCAAAAGACCAAAAAAATTTACTTATGGGGTGAGAATGTTGTACATAATAAATATAATTAGACATTTCATTTACTGTATCAGTGTGACTTGCTCAGATCCCTTACAGCACAATGAAGACATGTAAGCTAATAAAAATATTTTTGCATTTTAGTATTTTACACTTTTTTGGACAGTGAATCTGATTCAATGGGAATTGCCCATCAAACCCTCATGAGGGTGGTTTAGTATTTGATCGAGGAATTATTGAGATTCCTTCTTTAGGCATTTAGCTTCTTAATCATTGATAGTAAGTTATATTTTCTGATTGGTTGTCTACAGATAATTCTTTCCTTGTATACCTTCATGAAAGCCAACTCCATTGAAGTATCATCCACTCCTGCCATAGAACCTATATACTCCAATGGAACGCTTTAGTGGTTGAGTTCCCATCAGCGGCTGAAAGAACAAGTGCTATTTTTGTAGTATTTGTTGTAGTAGGAGTACCACCTCCTGTTTGGTGAAATATTCATAACTTGAGGGCTCAATATTGAATGATCACTGCAACAGGTGTGCAGGGAGCCTCTACGTGTTTAGAACTGTGGCTAATTTTTAAATCTGGTTTTAAAAATCCTGTGGAACGTGTTTTGGGAAAATGTGAAAATTGTAATTTCTTTCTAATGGTGTAAGAGAGGGGAAAGTCTTGTCATGACGGCAATGCACGATGTGCAATCGTAGCTCCAAAGAGGGAACTGATCCATAATTTAAACCATAATTTTTTATCTGAAATATTATGGCTTGAAATTAAGCCTTTCTTATACGATTTCATCACGTAGGTTAAGCTTGAGCATCTGTATCTGGATACCTCCTTATTTGCAGTCAATGCTTTAAAGGAGGAAATTTGTTGCTTCTATATTTAAATTATTTCTTCGTTTCTGCAACAAATTAACCAAAATGAGTCGTGATAAGGCGGAAAAGAAATCTGAATTATGATTTGATAATCGTTTTCCTGTATTCTTTCTTTCACGGACTTCTACATAAGCAGTTGATTAGTCTCCAGGGCAACACCTAATTGCATGCCGAGCCTGAATGACTTTTAAGAGTTTGGTTCAAGGCAATGGTGACAGAGATCGTCTACCAAATCAACTACTCTTATGAAAAAGTCTCCAGGAAAGTCTTGGCCCCTAGAAAAATTTTTCTTTCTCTAACAAAAGTACAAAATCACCTGCCTGCCAACTTCACGGCTGCATTTGACAAATAGTATCCCCTAGATAGATGGAGTTAGTAGCCCTGAGCTACTAGCTACTGACTTGATCTCGTGTATTCATCGAGCAGAGTTATCAAAAGCTTTTCAATTTTTTTTGTTTTGTCATTATTTTCAACTAGTTTCTTTAACAGATAAGATATCCTGAATTCTTTATATGGCCTTAATTAAATTGATTGTCGGCTATTGGCCGAAAAAATGATTGTCGGCTGACTAATTCAAATATTAATGCAACGAGGTTCCCTACAAAGGACGCAAAGGATTTCGTGCTACTGCAGCCAATTTCCAGACAAAGCACATCGATCCAGGACCTTCTGAGGTTCTGCTTCGTTTGTCTACTCCACTTGCTCGTAAATAAATTAACCAATCATAACATTAGTCGTGTTTTGAACTTTTAACTTGATTTTTTTTAATCTTTTAAGCAACAAGTAGAGTTTATACTCTATGTTGATAACTTTTAACTTATTCTGCATAACTAGTTTATTTTCAAAATATGAGAATAAAAGTCAAGAATATCAAATGAGGCTGGATGAGATCACAAGGGCATCCACTACTTTCCTTTCTTGGTGCGTATTAATTTGCTGAAGGTATGAAATTTAAATTGAAAATGAAAATGAAATGTTTGACTTTGCATATCCACCCAAAAAAATTCGACTACTATTTTGACCTTTTAATGTATAGTATAATGCAAAAAGGAACCCGAGTGGAGGCTGGACACTGCGAACTTATTATATATATGGATGTGCAACCAGCAGCGAGAGGCTGAAAGTAACATGTACTGGTTCTCTTTACTCTGTTGACCATCTGGAGGCAGAAGAACTGTGTTATATATATTTGGGACCAGCGCATCGAGTAACTTCTTGCACCTCAGTTTGAGCTCTGTTACTTTTATAGTGATTCATGGGTTTCCCCAGTGGTAACATCAAATTCCCAGAGATTGTATTGTTACTTACCTCTCAATACAATCTATTAGGTCATATCAAGGCCATTGTCATAGCAGTTCTTTCTCAACTTCCATTGCTTGGCAAAGTCTATCCATTTGGACGTGGTCGCCATGATAACCAGGCGGAGAATCGCCCATCTCCTTCTTTAGTTCCAGTCCCTGTCTTTTTCATGGTCCAGTCTGTGAAAAACCAGCTTCCTGTCATGCAATATAGTTGTTTTGTCAGCAGAAGATCAGGAGCTTGTGATACCGACGACCCTACCTGCATTGTTTGCATGAATTGCATTGAGAGAAGCCACGAGGTCATAGAGCTTAGCAGTTGTAACCACGTGTTTCACAGAGATTGCCTAGGTTGTTGGATCGATCATGGCAACATTACATGCCCCCTTTGCAAATCCAAGCTGTTGCCAGCTCAGGGAAACAATTCAAGACTAGGAAGCGATCCATGGAGGAGGGAAAGGATGATTTACCTGTTCGGCGAAGATGAAATGATGGGCACATGGTTATTATGAATATTTCTAAGCTACCAAGTTCTGATATTCGAATTATTTAAAGATTAATGATTAAAGGATGATATCTCATATTTAATAAATATTTAATTTCTTATAAATTTATATTCAAATTAATTTTTTTATTTATCGTCAATTAATTTTAAGTTGAGTATTGAATGAAGGTGAGCCAAAAATATGAGAAAGGAGAGTTCAAATAATAATTTTACTGGAAAAAAGGGGACTAAGTATTATTTTTGGTGAGATGAAGTATTCTGCTATAATGGTGTAAAAAAAAAAAAATTGGGGGGGCCATGGTGTCATGAGCAGAGACTTAAATTTGAAGCTCATGTGACTTTAAGACTTGAGAATGAACTCTTCTACATCCCAGATCAGTCTAAACTCAAATTGGTATTCAAACACTCAGTATTATAAAGCCTAATTGCTTAGAATGCTGCAAAAGACAAGGCTTAGGAAGTGTTTGAAAGAATGCTAGAAAAAATAATAGAAAGTAAGGCAAGAGTAAGGTATATTACTTAATGGTTAATATTTGTACAATAAGGGTAAGGACCTTCTATTTATAGTTAAACCTCTTTTACAATGGTTGAGATTATTTTTCTAAAGTCTAAAGATTATATTAATTTTCGTATTACAATGAATCCCTTTATTCTAGGAAATATGATAAAATCCATGATTCTAGGGGATTTGATACTACAACACAATTCCCAAGCACTGGGTCTTTTAAAAGCTCCCAAATCTAATCCTCCCAAGTCTATTTTTAACCGTGCCTGCACTTGGGTCCGACCATGTCCGCACATTATTCATCAGTGCTTGCACTTGGGTCTAACTCTATACCCACACTTGGGCTTGGCTCAATTATGCCAAACCTAAATACCTTGCCTGAGCCACTGGGTCTTTAACACTACCCATACCTTTATTCTAGGCTTTTGTCTTGCGTCATGGACCTTTAATGCACATCAAGGCTTGGTACTCCTAGTTGCCAAATTCTGCTCCTTTAGAATTGGAACTACTACTAAATTCAGATCGAACCTTTGGGCCTGGACTAGTGTGAGGACTGTAACATTCTCCCCCATTCATTCTAGCAACGCCCTCATTGTTAAGGGAATAATGTGCTCGCTGTGTACACCAGTTTTATCTCCTACCTTGTGAACCAGTTTTCTTTGACTCGATCCCATACTCAAATCTATACTATTTTGGCTTTTATTGGTCTCGGTCTAATGTTCCTCAGCACTTTACTCAATGGTCCCTTTCTCGTGTGCTGCCACCGTTTTCTGTGCTTCCTCTAAATTGCTCGCTACGCACTCTCTTGTGAAAAAATTGGCTGCACCCTAAGACTCATACTGTGGTATTAGTTGCCACTGGTTTCCCTTCATCAGTTTCTCGAGAAGACCCAACCCATCGACAATCTCAAATAGCACTAGGTCGTCTTTTCTTGGGCTCCTTTTAGTGCTGTTCAACACTGCTACTCTTACTTTTGGATAGCCCTACTGCCAGGTTAATGGCTTAAAGCTTCGGGCACTCTCTGACTCGATGTGAATCGACACAAAAATAACAACTGAAGAACTTCCTTTCCTTGCCCTTGTTGGTGGCTCTATGACTTTACAAAATCTAAGCTTTTCTACGACCTTTTCCTCTTTAAGAAACTACCACTTGTGTCTCCCCCATTCTTGCCTTTTCTCCTAGGCTTTGGAGACTTGGTGCACTCAACTTGAGTCATTAATACTGTAGCAACTCTATTTTGAATTAACTCATTTACACCTCTCAATTACAGCTTGGTCTTTACCTATGGCTTTAAACCATCCATGAAATGTTTAGGCACCTTCACTTTAGGTTCTAAGCTAACACCAGTAACCATGGCAGCATGCAATGCAGCATGGTCAACCTTAGGCCTCTATAGCTTTTCTTACAAGGTTGTCACCATGGACTCCAATGCTTTATTCTATTAAATAAGCTTTTCCATTGCCTTGTTCAAGGATCTTTCACTATCCCTAAACCAATCTATCATTTCAACAACGGCCACCTTGCACTTTGCCAATTGGGTGTTCATTGGTACATCTCTTGCTTTAGCTTTTCTCTCTTTGTCCTTAGGTGGGAGCTTGCACTAGCTTTTTACCTAGTTTTTCCTAGTCATGCCATAGTCTAAACACAAATTGTTAAACCATGAATACACAAACCAAAATATTACCTCAACTCTAATAGGCACTCAAATGATCCAAGTTTTGGTCTTAGCAAACCAACACACGAATCTGTCAGCACGGCACACTAGCACAGCATACACTGTCAAGCACTAGTTTGCAATAGGCACTTAAGTGATTCGGGTTCTGATCCTAGCAAACTAGCACACCAATCTATCAGTATGGCACACCAACACAGCACATATTGTTAGGCACTAGTTTGTACACTACCTCAGCATACCTTTCACCCTTGATCAGGCACCAGTCTACACACCTACACAACATGCCCAGCACACCTACAGCACCACAACAGCAATCTGTCAAGCACCTATTTTGCACTCTAGTACTTTTGCACTAAGTACACCATAGGCGTTTCACCAGCACACAAGCATAGTAATCCTTCTAAGATGCTAACACCAGAGAGTAAAATGCCCACACCAACCTTTTCAAATCTGCTTTAGCACTACTTTTGGGCTCAATCGACAACCTGCACTGATACCTTTTTTGGACCAGCTTTTACTGCCAACTTTGAACCAAGGTCAAGTCACCAACTTTGGTTTGAACTAACTCTAATATCATTTGTCATAAATCGAGACTTAAGTCTCAAAGTTCGTGTAATTTTAAGATTTGAAAATGAACTCTTACATGTCCTAAAATAGCCAAAACTTAAATTGGTGCTCAGGTACTTAGTACTGTAGGGCCTAGCTGCCATGAATGTTGCAAAAAATAAGGCACAAAAAGTGTTTGAATGAAAGCTAAAAAGAATAATGAAAAGGCAAGAGTAAGGTGTATTACTCAATGGTTATTATTTGTACAATGAAGGTAAGGGGTTTTCCATTTCCTTGTTCAAGGATCCTTCACTGTCCTCGAACCAGTCTATTATCTCAATAATGGCTACCTCACATTTCACCAATTAGGTGTCTATTGGCACATCTCTTGCCTTAACCTTCCTCTTATTGTCCCTAGGTAAGCACTCTTTATGGCTTTCATATTGGCTTTTTGCCTAGTTTTTCCTAGCCATGCCATAGTTTAAACATAAACTGTTGAACCACAAATGCAAAAACCAAAGAATTATCTTAACTTTAGTAGACACTCAAGTGATATGGTTTTTGATCCCAGCAAACCAACACATCAATCTATCAGCATGGCGTACCAACACCGCACTTATTGTCAGGCTCTAGTTTGCATACTGGCTCATCACTCTTTGTACCTTTAGTTAAACACCAGTTTACACATCTGCATAGCACGCCCAGTACACCCAGCACACCTACAATACTACAATAGCAGTCTGTCGAGCACCTGTTTTACACTATAGCACACATGCACCAAGCACACAATGGGTGTTTCACCAGCACACAAGCACAATAACCTTTCTAAGATGCCCGTACCATGCAACAAACTGCTTGCATCATACATTAAAATGCCCACACCAACCATTTTGAATTTGTTCCAACACAAACTTTAGCTTAATCGGTAACATATACTGATACCACTATTTGGACTAGCTTCAACTGCCAACTCTAATGAAGCTCTAGTCACCAATTTTGATCTAAACCAAGTTTTAATATCACTTATCACGAGCCGAAAATTAAGATTCAAACTCATACAGCTCTATAACTTAAAATGAACTCTTTTGTGTCTTAAATCAACCTAAACTCGAATTGATGCTCAGAGTATTTGGTACTACAAAGCCTAGCTACCTAGGATGCTGCAAATGATAGGACATAAAAAGTGTTTGAAAAAAGGCTAGAAAGAACAACATAAAGGAAGGCAAGAGTAACGTATATTACTCAATGGTTGCTATCTATATAATGAGGGTAAAGGCTTTTCCATTACCTTGTTTAAAGATCCTTCATTGTCCCCAAACCAATCTATCATCTCAACAACGGCCACCTTGCATTTTGTCAATCAAGTGTCTGTCAGTACATCTCCTACTTTAGCTTTTCTCTCTTTGTCCATAGATGGGCGCTCTTCATAACCCTCACACTGGCCTTCTGCCTAATTTTTCCTAGCCATGCCACAGCCCAAACACAAACTATTAAACTATAAATGCATAAACCAAAGAACTACCTCAACTCTAGTAGGCACTCAAGTAATCCGGATTCTAGTCCTAGCAAACCAGTACACCAATCTATTAGCACGGTACATCAGCATAGCACATATTGTCAAGCACTATTTTGCACATTGGCTCAACATGCCTTGTACCCTCTATTAGGCACCAGTTTGTTTACACACTTGCACAGTATGCCCAACACACCCATAACACTATAGCAACAATCTATCGAGTACCTGTTTAATATTCTAACACTCATACACCAAGCACACCATGGGCGTTTTGTCAATACACAAGCATAGTAACCCTTTTAGGATGCCCACATCATATAGCAAACTACTCGCACCATATAGTAAAATGCCTACACCAACCATTCTGGATCTGCTCCAGCACTAACTTTGGCTTAACCAATAACCTATATTGACACTACTATCTAGACCAAGCTTTGGTCACCAACTCTGATCTGAACCAAACTTTGATATCACTTATCACGAGTCGAAACTTAAACTTTAGATTTATCGGCTTTAGGACTTGAAAATAGACACTTTCGTATCCTAGATCAGCTTAAACTCAAACAGGTGCTCGGGCAATCGATATTGCAAGGCCTAACCACCCAAAATATTATAAAAAACAAGGCATAAGAAGTGTTTAAAGGAAGGTTAGAAAGAACAACAAAAAGTAAGGTAAGAGTAAGGTATATTACTTAATGGTTGCTGTCTATACAATAAGAGTGGGGTACCCTCTATTTATAGTTGAACCCCCTTATAATAGTTAAG